TTATCCCTACCAATTTGTTCTCTAGTCATTGCTTATTATATACCTTAAGGTAATATTAGACATTATATTTGTGTTTTAGGGGTTTGTTTTGGTTTGGGAGTCATACCTGTTGGTACTTGGGGGACCACATGGTGCCAGTGATCCAATTTGGGCCTCCTGCATACATTCAGCCTTATGAGTTATCTCAGCCCCTTGGTTTTCTTTTTGATTCCTTTTATGTAGGAATGAAGGAAGAAGGAAAGAGGGAAGAAATGTAGGAAGGTTTTCCATGTACTGTTCAGAAATTTTTTATCGTGGGGAAGGGAGGATGGGAGGAAGGAAGGAAGGAAAAAAGGAAGGAAGGAAGGAAGGAAAGAAGGAAGGAAGGAAGGAAGGAGGGAAGGAGGGAAGGAAGGAAGGAGGGAAGGAGGGAGAGCAGGCAGGCAGGCAGGCAGGCTTTCCATGTACTGTTCAGAAGTTTTTTTATCCACATCAGCTCTTCCTGGTTGGTGCTTAGGAGTTGCTTTTCAGTGCTTAGGATCATCTGGTATTGGGGACCAAACCCAAGTCTACTCTATGCAGAGTAGATGCCCATAAAGCTCTCTATCTCTAGTCCCTTAGGAGAAGTATATGTATACAAATGTGTGCATGTGTGTGTTTTAGGGCTACAGTCAGAAGTGCTCAGGCACTACTCCTAGCTCCGTGCTCAGGGATCACTTCTCACGATGCCCGGTGGATGATATGAGGTGCCAAGGATCAAACTGGGGTTGGCCACATGCAAGGTACGCTTCTGAACCCCTGTACTACGCCTCTGGCTCGAAATTTTACTTTACCTTTTGGTAGATTATGGACAACTCTGCATGCTTTATGGGTGTCCACTATTTCCTAGTAACATACAACTGGGTTAATTACTACCCCCCACTCCAGTTTTCATAGTTACAGGGCTGGGAAGTGCTTTGCTAGAGGTATACTTTCACACAGATACATTTCTATGCTGGAGTCCCAGAGGAAAGACTGGGACACCGAGCACCTACTGCTAGGTGAGCTGTCTACCCCCTGAGCACATGGGTCCTTTTGTTAAAACTGATGACTGTACCTGTCATCAGCACCTAAAATCTATAGCTTCTAATAGGGCTTACTCTGGGGTTTGGAAAATGTATTCTATGGGTTTGGACATCCTGGCTGCATGAGATCATACAGATACTTTCACTGCCTTCAAGCTTTCTGGGCTCCTCTTCATCTATCCATCCTTCCTCCACCAATCCTTGCTAAGCACTGATATATATATATATCATATATACGTATATATATGATATATATATTTATATTTATTTTACTGTCTATAGTTTTGCAACTTCTGGAATGTCATATATTTGGAATCAGAGTGCAGTTTTAATCAAATTGGCTTCTTTCTGATTAAAAATGACCATTTAAAATTCCTCCATGAATGGAAAGGGTGAATAAGCAGGGCACAGTGGACTCTTAGGACAGTAAAATTTTTCTAAATGATATTGTAATTGTGGAAACATATCAATTATTTTTAGCAAAACCCACAAAACTGTCCAACACAAAAAGTTAATCCCAATTAAATTAAGATGGTAGTTAATGTATTAATATTAGTTTCTCAGTTATTAGTTTAGTTATAACTAAGCTATATAAGGATCAGAGGGCAGAAGTTATATGGGAACATCTCTGTATTTTCTGTTCAACTGACAAAAAATAAATGGAATATATAGTTTTTTTTTTTTCTTGAGCACACCTGGCGAATGCACAGGGGTTACTCCTGGCTCTGCACTCAGGAATTACCCCTGGCAGTGCTCAGGGGACCATATGGGATGCTAGGAATTGAATCCGAGTCAGCCGCGTGCAAGGCAAACGCCCTACCTGCAGTGCTATTGCCCTAGCCCTGGAATATATAGAGATTTAAAAATAAAAATTCCTCCACGGATTTTGATGGCTCAAAAGCCCATTTCTCCATTGTACAGATGCCAAATTGTCTCATTTGTTATTTTTTCATTCACCTACTGAAGGCCGTTTTCCTTGCCAAGTTTGGCACTCATAAAACTGCAAGATAAAATAAAAGCTGATATAAATAGTAGGTTTTAATGTGGACAAAGGTTTTCAACTCATTCGGGTAAATAACAAGGATTATGACTGCTGGGTTATATGGTAAAAGTATATTAAGTTGTACCCAAAAGGAGAGAGAGAACACAGGGGATTGCCCTGCCACAGAGACAGGGGGGTTGGGGGGATGGGGGTGGGAGGGATATTATCCATGGTGGTGGAAAATGGGCACTGGTGGAGGGATGGGTATCTGATCATTGTATAATTGAAACCAAAGCACAAAAAATGGTAAATCTACAACTGTAAAAGAAAATAAAATAAAATAAAGGAAAAAAAAAAGGAAGAAGACAAATCTCAACCACCATTCCAAAAGTAAGAGATTTTTCAAACTAATTTACAAATAAGAAGGATATATTTGATAATGAGTCCTTCACTTTGAAAATAAAACACTTGGCAAAAAAAAAAAGTATATTAAGTTGTGTAGAAAACCAACAAATGAACAAAGTTGCTGTTGCTGTGCCATTCTCATATGCAGTGGACGAACGTCCTTGTTATTCTACATTTATTTTCAATACAGGCCATTTGACATCTGTGCTGGGTGCAGGTAGGGAAACGCCGAGGTTGGTGTTCAGGGCTTGCGGGCAGCAGAATAGCTTGGCAGCCACATGGGCCATCATGGCAGTGCTCAAGGGCAACCAGGACTATATCTGATGGTGCTGGGGGTGGGTTGGGAGAGATATTTGGGACCAGGGGTTGAACCCAGTCTCACCACCATGTGCTCTACCACTTGAGCTATCCCTTTCTACACCAATGTGACCCTTGGGGTACATTTTTATATTGTCAGGGACCAGAACAATAGTACAGCAGGTAAGGCAATTAACTTGCACGCAGCCAACCCTGGTTCAATCCTCTGGTATCCCATATGGTCTCCAGAGCCCTGCCAGGAGTGATTCTTGAGCACAGAGTCAAGAGTAAGCCCTGAGCACTGATGGGCATGGTCTCCTCCCTCAAGTATTATCAGTGTTTTTGATTTTCGTTATTCTAATAGGTGCACAGTAGTAATTTAATGTTGATTTACCTTCCAATGCTCTTTTCTTCTCTTTTTGTGCATAATTATTTTAGGTGAGGGTGCCTTCTATTTCTAATATTAGAATGTTCCCAATGGTTGAAAATTCCGAGTTTTCTCTCTTGCCTAAGAATATAGAGTTAAAACTCATATTGACCCAAAGTTCTGACATTTGGAAGGGACTGCCATCCTTGAGGTTACAACTGAGGAATATGAACAGTTAGTTTGGGTTCTGAATATGGAGGGCACGATATTTAATCAAACATCAAGTGGGTAAGAACAGGAGTTAAATTGAGGACAAATGCCTAAACTCAGAACATGTCCTGGGGAGACCAGGATTGAATTCCATCTCTACCTGCTACCTCCAAGTGAAGTTCTCATACAAAATTCATCACTGCTGGGCTTATAATTTCTTTTTTGGGACAATTTTATTTATTTATTTATTTATTGCTTTTTGGGTCACACCCAGAGATGCACAGGGGTTACTCCTGGCTTTACACTCAGGAATTATTCCTGGCACTGCTCAGGGGACCATATGGGATTCTGGGTCAGCCGCATGCAAGGCAAACACCCTACCCACTGTGCTATCACTCCAGCTCTGGGCCTATAATTTCTAACCCACAAACACCTACAGAATCTTAAATACCTTTAGACTCTAAGAAATTTCTCAAACTTTCTCATCTTATTATCTATATATCTCTCTCTTTATATATATGTGTACTTGCACAATTATGTGTATTATATAAGTATGATATATGTTGCTTAATTACTAGTATATTATTACTAAAGGTAAAGGTAAAGGCCCTCCCGTTGATCGTCGATTTGCTCGAGCGGGCCCAGTAACGTCTCCATTGGAGACTTTGTTGTTACTGTGTCTGGCATATCGAATACTCTCGGTAGCTTGCTGGGCTCTCCGAGAGGGGCGGAGGAATCGAACTCGGGTCGGCCATGTTGGCCGCTTGTAAGGCGAACGCCCTACCCGCTGTGCTATCGCTACTAAAGATACAAATATAGGTTCAGAGGTAGTATAGGGGTTAATGCATTTGCCCTGTATATGGCGGACCCTGGTTTGACCCCAGACGCCACATATGATCCTTTGCACACTATCAGAAGTAACTCCTGAGCACCACTGGGTGTGGCCTCAAAACAAAGAAACAAAACAAAAAATCCACAAACTATTATTGGGCCTGATACACCAAATACAGCATATAGGAGCTTAGATTTGATCCCGTGTGCTCTGTGGTTCCCTGAGCATCACGAGGAGCAACACCTGAGCTTTGGGTTGGGAGTATTCTCAGGAGCATGGCTTGGTTTGATCCCCAAACCAAAACCAACACCTTCCCCACCCCGCCACAAAAAAAAACCATAAAAAACCCTACAGTTTTTGTTTTTAGAAATTTGGGTGGCTCATATGTTTAGTTCATCATCTTGATTTTATGTTTCCTGGTCATTTTATAACTTTGAAAAAAACAAAAATGAAGGTCTATCAAACACTTTGGAGCAACCCCTTTGGAGAAGATTAAGAATCTTAATACAGGATTGACCTCATCTATTACAGACGCAAGCTGGGAACTTTGCAGACGCTATTTATCATATTTGCAGCTGAAATGAGGATTCTGATAAATGCAGCTGCAAAGACAGAAGCAGGGGGCACTGATTCAATGCTTCTGTTAATAGCGATGTGGGCCAAACCTGGACCTGCACATCTGCCCAGGAAGAAACGAAGTGATGGTTAGTGGAAACTTCCTAGGCCTCACATGCTGTTTTTAATCTAAGATGAGAAGTTACGAAACTCTCATGACACTGACACGGAACAGCTTTCGTATTGTTAATGTTACTGAGTGTGAGGCGGGGTGAGCAGAGGGAGGGCGAGAGAGTTAAACAACACGAATCCAGTTTGAGGCACCTCAGTCTTCCGGCTTGGCAAACGCTCCTTTGTGGCCTGACAAAGCTCAGGTGAGAACATGCAGACACTGGGGACATCTGCATTTTTGCAAACAGTTTCTGAAAATCAAAGCTTCTTAGCTGACCTCCATTTTTCCCCCTTCCAGTTCTGCCTTCTCAGACTAATGCTTTTTCCCTTTGCCGCTTTCCACGTTTCCTGGTATTTAGAAAAAAATATTTCTCTTGGTAAGCATTTCCCTCGTTACTCCCTTGGCTGATATTTCACACGGAGAACCGAAAGGCATTTATCCCCCAGGGAAGCAGTTATTTTAGATTTCACTAAGAAGTCAGTTAACATTTTTCAACATTCTCTTCTGTACTTTTTTTCTTTGAAAGAAAGCTCTGGTTTTGTTTCATTTTCAGCTGGAGACTTAAATGACACCAAGCAAAGTCTACTTAGTTTAGATTTCCAGGTAAAAATGTTTTAAATTTTAAGTTTCTACTAAAGCATGTGAAATGGTTTTAATATTTGGGTATTTTTATGTTGCAAATATGTTTAAAGCTTGAGGGTATCAGCTCTGATGAACAGAAGTTAAATTTAAGCGTGCATAACTCTGCTGACTTGGTTTTTTTCAGGATGACTACTTCCCAAGTATTTCAAACTTTATAAAATTAAGATGAAATAATTACATATTCAGATAGAATTATATGCTCAACAGAAGTATAAATTGGCTTGAAAAAATTTATTTTTATTTACTTTGAAGTTTGAAAAGGACATAAAATAATGGTTTTCTATTTTAAACCTGTTAAGTAAAGTTAAATGGGATGAAAGACATCAGCTTTGTTTAAAATTCTAAATTATCATTTTTATAGCTTAAGACAGTTGGTGGAACTTCAGATGATATTGGGATAATGGAATAAACAGTGGATTATAGAAAAATTTATTAGATTAAAACAATACCTCTCGGATTAGTAGATTTCACCCTAGTAACATATTTACTTTATTATTAAAGTAAATATTAAAGGCACTGTGAAATGCTATACTGACTTAGAATAATAAAGCCTCAATTATAAAATTAGTATTGATAATGCTATTTCCTTAAAATTACTTAGACATTTCAATGAGACTATTTAGATATTATTGCATGAAAATTAAAATAGCTTTGTAAATTCAGTTCTGTCTTTAGCTGTTTACATTTCTAGGTAAGTGTAAAGATGGCAATTTAGGGTGGGGAAGAGGAAGACTTAGGACAAAAGTGTGGACAGAGGTTCCCAAACAAGTGGCCTACAATTCCTCTTTCAGAAAAGAGGTCATTTGGGACCCCTGAAATCTCTTTTCTTTAAGCAAATCAGCAGGCTACTCTGGGCCCCCTAGAGGGTGGTGCTGCCACTTCCGGAATCACTAAGGGAGCTGGAGGGCGGGAGAGGAGCGGGCACTGTGGCTGCCTGAGAGGTGAGTGAGTCTCCCTGGCCGGGACGGCGAGGTGTCCTCCCTGGTCCATCTCTAGGCTCGGGCTGCCTCCTCGTAGCTCTGACCGCCACCAAATGGCCAGTGAGCACTGCTGATGGTGAGAGGGAGCACATGCTGTGCATGTCTGATGATGGCAGCATCCGTGCTTCCAGTGGCACCCACCTCTTGTGACATTCAGCAAATTCTGCTCCTGTCCTGCCTCCCATCATCCTCCCCAGAGGCTTTCTGCTGTGGCCACTGCCGTTCTTTCCAGACCTGTCAGCTCATAGGCAGAACTGAATTTGAGGATTTCAGCCGCCAGCCAACAAAGTCATTTGTTCCCTCCTTCTGCCTGGCCGCTAGCTTCTCAAACATGGACGTGTACTAGTTGCTCTAGTAGGACCTGCAGCAAATGTTCTGAAATGAAGGTGTACAACATTTTGCACACTGACCTTGGCTGCTGTGGAAACCTCATAGGGGCTGCTTCTTGCGGAATGCCCTAAATGCTAAGAGGGGCAAGTCAGAATATGATCCTAACACAACTGGTGAGGGGAGGGATGGCTCTGGTGGCTAAAGCAGAATTCCTGATTTCATACTGAACAGACTGCATACCTTCTTCTCTCTCACCCAACCCTAGAAATAACAGAAGATGTATTAGAGACAGCTGTATGTGGAAACAAGATGATTCTGAGTAAGACAGAAACTGTGACAATAGAAGTAGATATAGTTATATAGAGGGTTCATAAGAGAGATGCTCAGACACTGATTTGAAAATAGCTATCATTACTTTTTTAACGTGAAAAGGAAGGAGATAATTACAGGGATTAAGGCACTTGCCTTGCACTCACAGCTTCAGTTCCATCACGGGCATCACCTATGGTCCTCTGAGCATCACCAGGAGTGATCCCTGAGCACAAAGCCAGCAGTAAACCCTGAATATGCTGACAAATGCCTTTTTTCTGTTTTGTTTTGTTTTGGCTTTTTGGGTCACACCCAGCAATGCTAGGGGTTACTCCTGGCCTTGCACTCAGGAATTACTCCTGGCGATGGCCCAGAGCATGCTAGATGTGGTCCAGCACCCCAACCTCCACCAAATTCTCTCTTTTTTTTTTTTGCCACACCAGGTGGCGCTTAGGACTCACTCACGGCAGAGCTCAAGAAACTATTTTTTGGGTGATGGGCATAGAATCTGGGGTGATAATGTGCAAGGCAAATGTCCTAACTGCTGTACTATCGCTCCAGTCCTCCCAATTAAAAAAGTGTAAAAGACAAGATTGAAAATTTCACTAGAGAATCAGAAACAATATAGAGCTCACTGAAAAAAATTTAAAATGTTTAATATCTCACAATAATAGAAACACGGAAGTTAATGGATAGATTTAATAGCAGATAAATGCAACAGAAGAGGTTAGAATGAATTAGAAGATAGTTTAGAGGAATAAACAGGAAGGGTTATGGAGAGACAAAGAATAGAAAATACAAGAGGACAAGAAACACTAATTATATAATAAAAAGGTTAATAAACATGAAATCACAGCTCTGAAAAGGGAAGGGAAAAATGTATTATTTGAGTAGATAGTGATAGCACAGCGGTAGAGTGTTTGCCTTGCATGCAGCCAGCCTGGCCGAGCTGGGTTCAATTCCTACGCCCCTCTCAGAGAGCCCGGCAAGCTACCGAGAGTATCTCGACTGCACGGCTAAACCTGGCAAGCTACCCGTGCCGTACTCAATATGCCAAACATAGTAACAGCAAGTCCCCCAAAAATGGAGACGTTACTGGGCCCGCTCGAGCAAATTGATGAACAATGGGGGGGACAGTGACAGTGACAGTGATAAGGAATAAGAAGTGACGGTGATAAGGAATAAGAAATTTCTAAATCTGATTAATATGAGGCCAGAGAATCAAAAAACTACGAACTTTAAATTGGATAAAGACAAGAAAAATCTTATCTATGAAAAATGAAATAAAACAGTTGAAAAATCAAAGTCAAAGAGAACTGCTGTCAGAAAAAAATCACTTTTAAAGTAGAAATGATTTATAATGACTCAATAGAAATGATGTACATAAAGAAATATTGAATGGGTATCAAATCTGAGGGGGAAATGTCATCCTAGAGTTCCATATCCAGCAACTACATCCTTTCAGTATGCCATAAAATAAACATTTTTTGATTAAAAAAAAAACCAAAAAAACAAAAAAGCAAATTGGTCGCTAGTCATTTTGTACTAAGGGGACTGCTAAAAGGCATTCTGTACTCAGAAAATTTATCCCTATAGAAGACTAGAGATGCAGGAAGGAAAAAGAATAAACAAAAAGGATAAATTAATAAACTGGTTCTCCAGATGACTGGTTAAAGATAGTTTGGTACATCTACACAATGGAATACTATACAACTATTAGGAGAAATGAAGTCATGAAATTTGCTTGTAAGTGGATAGACATGGAGAGTATAATGCTAAGTGAAGTGAGTCAGAAAGAGAGGGACAGATATAGAAGGACTGCACTCATCTGTGGAGTATAAAATAACATAACATGAGACTGACATCCAAGGACAGTAGATACAAGGGCCAGAAAGATTGCTCCATAGTTGGAAACCTGCCTCCTGAGAAGGCAGCTGGAATAGAGAAGGATCACTAAGTTAATGATTGTTGGAGGGATAATCTGTTCGGGATGGGAGATGTGTGCTGAAAGTAGATAAAGGACCAAACATGATAACCTCTCAGTATCTCTATTGCAAAACATATTGCCCAAAAGTAGAGAGACAGTATGGGGGAATATTGTCTGTCCTGGAGGCAGGGGGAGGGTGGAAAAGGGGGGGTATACTGGGGACATTGGTGGCGGCGAATGTGCACTGGTGGAGGGATGGTGTTTGATCATTGTGTGATTGTAACTCAAACATGAAAGCCTGTAACTATATCTCATGATGACTCAATAAAATTGAAAAAAATATCTGGTTCTCAACTAGGGACAGGATAATTCTCCAAGGATACATACGACAATGTTACAAGACATTTCTGACAGTCAGAACTGAGGAGCATATACTGGAAAGAGTTAGAAAATATACTTAAACCCAAACATAATGAAGTACTGTTAGATATAAATGGAATAAATATCTCAATTAAAGGACAAAGACTCTCAGGCTGCATTTAAAAACATGATGCACTACTAATATAATGTATTTAAAAATACAGAATATTAGGGGATGGAAGAGAATACAGCAGGCAGGGCGCTTGCCTTACATGTGGCCACCCTGAGTTTAATCCCTGACGCTCCATATTCCTCCCAGAGCTCCACTTTTACAACAAACTAAAGAAAGCAACTGAATTATTTGAGAATATTTGAAAATAAAAAGCTCTATCAGATATGAGAATCTGTATAATAGCAAAATGTACTGGAAGAATTAATACTCATGACCAAATTGTTAAGGCACGGGCTGAAAATAGAATTACAGAACAGACTGGATTATATACATTGATGTTTATTTGTTCATATACCCACAATTTTCTGCTAAATAGGAAAACATGTTTGTAGAACAATAGGTAACAAACACTTGACAAGAGATAACAAAAATTCACTCTATATATTTTGTTTAAATATAGAGGTTCAAATATGTTTAGAAGGGGTCATGAAAGATGCAATAAACTAGAAGCTGGGAAATTCTGGCCCACAGTACAAATCATGTTTTTAAAACATGTTGTTATTCAAAACAAAGTGCCATTGGAATACAGTCAAGCTTCTCTTTTGACTTATCATCTAAGTCTATTTCGGGGCCATAATAGCAAAGCTGATTTGTTTTCACAGAGATTGCTGGCCTGCAAAGCCAAAAACATTTACTCTCTGGACCTTGAAGTGAAAGTGTGCCTATCCTTGCACTAAACTATAGGTGATGGCTAAAGCAACTTGTCCTTTTTGCCTCATGCATCACTTTAAGTTTTAGAAATTATTTTTTATTACTTTTTAGAAATTTAAATTTTTAAAAAGTAGAAAGACTAAAAACTTAGGAGAGAGAAAACTGTGTGAAC